CCTCACTCCTGGGTCTGCGGTGGCAGTTAAAGAAGGGGGAATTCGAGCTGCTCGAATTTACCGAAATGTGGCTGAAGGCCAGAAAAGAGGCCCAGGAGTGAGGATTTGGAGTTTAGGGTTTAGGGTTTAGGGTTTAGGGTTTAGGGTTTGTGCAGAACCCTGGAAGACGGCGGTTTGAACTCGCGGCGGAGTTTGTGGGGTCAATTGAAGGAAAAACTCTTTTGTGTAATCGAGTGGCATTTTTCGATTTCAGAGAGAAGGTGAGGTGTACGTACACCCCAAACGCATGCATGCATGCATGCATGCATGCGTGCATGCATGCGTTGTTGAGGGTTTAGGGTTTGGAGTTTAGGGTTTGGAGTTTAGGGTTTAGGGTTTAGGGTTTTGGGGTAGTTTGGGTGCGAAGGCGTTGGGCGTTCTGCTGCTGCGTGTTCAGGGCGCGTTGGACTTGGTGTGCCAGGGGCAGCCGCAGCAGCAGCAGCAGCAGCAGCAGCAGCAGCAGCAGCAGCAGCAGCAGCGGGGGGATAGCCCTTTTGAGACGCTGCGGACGTTTCTGCGGCCCTCAGACTCTTCCGATGATTCTCTTTTCTTCAAAGTGACTTCTTTTAATGGAGTTTGTCCTTATTCGTTTTGTTCAAGACCTTCTTTGTCTCCCCTTTCAATTCCCCAGAATCTTTTGCTGCCAAGCAGCAGCAGCAGCAGCAGCAGCAGCAGCAGCGGCAGCAGCGGGGGTGGCGGTGGCGGCGGGAGAGAAGGCGAGGAGGAAGCAGCGCACAAGCAGCAGCAGCTGGAGCAGCAGCAGCAGCTGCTGCTGCTGCAGCAGCAGCAGCTGCTGCTGCAGCAGCAGCAGCAGCAGCAGCTGACTATCTCCTCCCCCATTCAAATGATGCCCGACCTGCCGCCGCCATACGGCGCAGCAGCGATTGGTGAGCTGCCCAGCAGCAGCAGCAGCAGCAGCAGCAGCAGCAGCAGCAGCAGCATTAGGTACTTCCACAGCGAGTCAGCGGCACTTGGATTTAGGGTTTAGGGTTTAGGGTTTAGGGTTTAGGGTTTAGGGGTCTTGTGCTTTTCCGAAGGGGCTGCATTCAAGCTAACTGTGACGGACCTGAACGGGACGAAGTCGCCTCGCACGGGTACGACGGAAACTGGGGTTTAGGGTTTAGGGTTTAGGGTTTAGGGTTTGGGGTTTGGGCTAAGGTTTAATGCCTGGGCTGTTTTTGCAGTGGCCAGAGGCTCTAGAGCTAGCGTTTAGGGTTTAGGATTTAGGGTTTAGGGTTTAGGGTTTAGGGTTTAGGGTTTAGGGTTTAGGGTTTGTGAGCGCAGGAGCCCAAATGCCTCAAAGCGCGCATGCGCCTCTTTCGCTTCCCTTTGAATTATTTGGTTTGGGACAAACAAATAATTATGTGGAAGAGTTTTTTGTCGGACTGCCGCTGGCCCAGTTGGTGAGGGTTTAGGGTTTAGGGTTTAGGGTTTAGGGTTTAGGGTTTGGGGTTTAGGGTTTGGGGGCTGAGTCCCGAGTTTGCGGGCTCTCGGGCTCCAGGGCTGTTGAGCGCGCGGTTTCCGCGCGAGTCGCTTTCTCCCAGGGCTTAGGGCCTAGGGCTTAGGGTTTAGGGTTTAGGGTTTAGGGTTTAGGGTTTAGGGTTTAGGGTTTGCGTGCAGACCGCGTTTAGCATGTGGGTTTCTCTAATTCCCAACTCCCAAGTAATTGTGATGCCTTACCCTTTGGAGCAGCCGGGGGGTTGGCAGCTCGAGCTGTCTGTACACCCCTCCCGGAGCTTCGTCAACATCCTCATTGTGGGCTTTCGAGGGTTTAGGGTTTAGGGTTTAGGGTTTAGGGTTTAGGGTTTGGGGTTTAGGGTTTGGGGTTTGGGGTTTGGGTGAGGGTGGGTTCGTGGCTCGCGGAGGTGTTTGGGACGTTTTTCATTGCGAGATTCAGGTTTTTGGATTTCTAGGGTTTAGGGTTTAGGGTTTAGGGTTTAGGGTTTAGGGTTTAGGGTTTGGAGATTAGGGTTGGTGTGCGCAGACGACGGTGATTTGCCTGCTGCTTGTGGCACTCATTATTTTTATTCTGGACAGACGCGAAAAGGTGAGAGTTCAAGGGTTTAGGGTTTAGGGTTTAGGGTTTAGAAATCTGGGACTTAAAATGATCTTTTTTCGCTTTTTCACAACTAGTTATAATACCATTTTAATTGTCTTTTTTTGGGGTTTTCAAATTTAAAAGGTTTGAAAATACCATTTTAATTCTTTTTTTATTTTTTGGCATTTTCATATTCAAATAAAATACTATTTTAATTCCTTTTCCATTTTTTGTTATTCCCAAATTTCGAAAATACCATTTTAATTATTTTTTTGTTTTTTGGGATTTTAAGATTCCAAAAATATCATTTGAACTCTTTTTTTATTTTTTGGGATTTGCACAATTGAATAAATCACCACTTTAATTCTTTTTTAAACTTTCAAGTTTGAAAAATGCCATTTTAATTCTTTTTTTCAAATTAAAAATTTCAGTTTAATTCTTTTTTTGTTTTTTTATTTTGCTGCTGCAGGCAGAAGACTCCGAAGAGCAGCGGGGATTTCGCAGCCACTTTATTGTGAGTTAAAAAAATGAAATTCTTTTTAAAAAAAGAAATTTCATTTAATTCTTTTATTAAAAAAGAATTAAATGAAATTCTTTTCATGAAAAAGGAATTTCATTTAATTCTTTTTATTAAAAAAGAATTAAATGAAATTCTTTTCATGAAAAAAGAATTCCATTTAATTCTTTTTTATTAAAAAAGAATTCCTTTCAATTCTTTTTGATTAAAGAAAAGAATGAAATGGAATTCTTTTATATCAAAGAGAACCGCATATAATGGAATTCTTTTTGGTAAAAGCATTTCATTAAATTAAATTCTTTTTGATGAAAAGAATTCCTCAAATGGAATTCTTTTTATCCAAAAAAAATCAATTTGATGGATTTCTTTTTGATGAAGTATTCATCAAATGGAGTTATTTTCGTCAAAAAGAATTGCATTAAATGGACTTTTTAAATCAAAAAGAATTCAATTAAATGGAATTCTTTTTATCAAAAAGAATTAAATTAAATTCTTTTATCAAAAAGAATTAAATTAAATTAAATTCTTAAAAAGGATTTCATTTAACGTTTCCGACTTTAGCAATTCGCAGTTTTGCCCCACTGACAAATAGATTCGAAAAAGAAGAAAATGGATTTTATTATTTTAGTTCATTTGAATTAATTAAATTGAATTAATTAATTGCAATTTATTAATTTCAAAAAAGAAAAAATCAATTCACAAAATTCATTATTTTCGATTTATTAAATCTCAAAAAACGAAAAAATGAATTTCTTTGAAAGTGAGAAAAATCAGAAAACGCCGATTTGTGCAGGCGGGCTAATTAATGGATTGATTCGAAAATATAAATAAATAAAAACAAATTAAGAAATAAAATAAATAAATAAATAAATAAATAAATAAATAATGAACAATTCAAAACAAGCATATCAAATAATTCTGCAACTGGAGATAAAACTGTTGCAGCAAAAGACGCAGAAGCTGCAGTCAAACTCCCCAGCATTTGAGCTCTCGCCAAACCCTAAACCCTAAACCCTAAACCCTAAACCCTAAACCCTAATTTTCTGCAGAAACTGCGCAGCTCGCTGTCTGTTGTGTCGGGTGTACGTACACCCCAAGCGCCCTGTTCTTTCCTAAGGCCGAAGTGAACATTTAAAATAAATGATTTTAAGAAGAATTAAAATGTAAAAAGAATTAAAAGGGGAATTTTACCTGATTCGAAACATATAAATTAAAAAGAAATGCAAAACATCCAGAAACAAAAATGCATTTCCATGGGAGGCCCCCTACTCGAAGGGGGCCCCTATTTAGGGGCCCCCCAATTAGGGGGCCCCAGTTGGGGGCCCCCTTTAGGGGCCCCCCATTTAGGGGCCCCCCAGGGTGCTTCCACTTTATGGGGCCTCAAGCGGAATTCCTACGCAGCAGCATCATAAGGGGGCCCCCCGGGGGCCCCACAGCGCAGTCGGGGGGCCCCCTAAGGGGGCCCCCTAACGGGCCCCCTGGGGGCCCCATAGGGAGATAAATGACAATTTCCACTACAGAAGACCCTGTAGGGGGCCCCCTAGGGGGGCCCATAGGGAGATAAATGACAATTTCCACTACAGAAGACCCTGTAGGGGGCCCCCTAGGGGGGCCCCCTGAACAGTTTGCCCCCTCTGGGGCCCCTGGGAGATTGGGGTGTTGTTGCTGCAGTGTACGTACACCTGGTGAGGGCGTGGGAGGCTGCTGCTGCATGCATTTATTTTGTCTTCGATTTATTTTTATTTGGATTTATTTTGACCTTTTGATCTCCCTGAAGTCCAGCAGCTCAAACGCATGCAATGCATGCATGCAAAGTTGCAAAAATTGCGTTCGTGCATGCATGCATGCATGCATGCATGCATGCATGCGCCCGCGTGGTGTACGTACACCGCATGCGCCCGTGGGGTGTACAGACACCTGCGGTGTCGAAGCGCGGGAATTTGCGAAAAGGAATTAAACATTTAATATTTTCTTCAGATTTTTCTGGAAGTAAATTTTAAATTTCTTTTAATTCTTTAATTGCCATTAAATGCAGATCTCTGCGGTGTATGTACACTGCGAAGCTCCAGCCATTGCCTGCGGGCACTTTTAAGAGCCTTGAAGTGGAATGTGCAAATAAATAGATAAGTCAATAAATAAATAAATTAAATAAATTAAACAAATGAATAAATGAATAAAATAAATAATATTGAAATATTTATGAAAATCTTGAAATCCACAGCAGTCTAAAATAAAAAAATATGACTTGAAGTATTTCTGTAAAATTGCGTTTACATATTCTTCAAAGAAATGTATTTTCGTATTTCCGATATGAACGTTAATATAGGAAAATATACGAAAAAGTATATCCTTACTTATTTGTACAAATATATATATATATATACATTCCATATATATATTATATATATATATACATTATATATATATACATTATATATATACATTATATATATATATGAGATAAGCATATGTATATGCATATATGTGCATGTATTGAAGTAAATATATATACCCATAAATATATAGATACACATTTGTTGTATTTATATAATGCATATGTATATATATATATACATATAAATATATACATATATATGAAGACATATATATATATATACATGCATACATATATATAAATATATATGCAAATGGGCCAGAATATATTTGAAATGGAAAATGAAATAAATGGCAATTAAGTGTACAGACAGAAAGCACAAAACATGGCTGCACGGGGAGGTGTACATACACTGTGGACTGATGCGTTTTAGCTTTTCTATTTTCAGAAATAAATTGAACTTCAACTTTTCAAGAAAGTGCATTTAATTTATAATTATAATTATAATTATAATTATAATTATAATTATAATTATAATTATAATTATAAATTATATTTTTTATAATTATGAATTGCGCCAAAGACGGCAGCAGAAACTTTGTTTTCCAGGGTGAGACCGGGGTGTACGTACACCTCAGCTGGACCTTCCTCCGTTGGATTCACAATTGCAAATATAAATAAATAAAATAAATAAATATATAAAATAATAAATAAAATAAATAAACAAAATAAATAAATATGAATAAATGCAAAAAAGACACAAGAAAAGAGGCCTATTCTTCTACTTAGAAGCATGCGCGCACTGCACAGCAGCAGCAGCAGCAGCAGCAGCAGCAGCGCAGCAGCAGCGCCGCCTTTGCACGTCTGCCGATGAAGTCGCGGCTGCTGCTGCTGCTGCTACTGCTGCTGTTCCTGCTGCTGCTGCGGCTGCTGCTGCTCCTGCGGCTGCGGCTGGTCCTGCTGCTGCACTTGCGGCAATTCCTGCTGCTGCGTTTGCTGCAGTTCCTGCTGCTGCTGCTGCTCGTCATCTTCCTGCTGCTGCGAATCGTACTGGTCCTGGTCCTGCTCTTCGTGCTGCATCTCTTCCTGCAGCAGCCGCTGCTGCTCCTGCTGCAGCATCTGCTGCTGCTCCTGCTGCAGCAGCTGCTGCTCCTCTCTGTGTTGGTCAGCGGCTGCCTCGAGCTGCAGCACGAGTTGCCTGAGGGCGTTTGCTGCTGCTGCTGCTTCGGGGAAGGTAGTTGCTGCTGCTGCTGCACTTTGTGCTGCTTCCATTTCGGCCTGCAGCAGCGGGGGGGCTGGAGAGAAGGAAAGACCTTCTCTGCGGATTCGGGTGAAGGTTTTGCTGCTGCTGCGGATGTCTTGCTGCAGCAGCTGCAGCCAGCTGCTGCCCAGCAGCTGCCGCTCTGCTTCTGCTGCTGCTGCTGCTGCTGCTGCCAGCTGCTCCTCTATTGCTGCTGCTGTTCGCTGCAGCTCTTCCAAATCCCTTTTTCTCCCCAGCTGCGCCATCAGCATTAGGGCCAAGTCCCGGCGGTTCTCTATCTCTTCCAGAGCAGCAAAGGCCTGCGAAACGCTGCTGTCCTGCTGCTGCTGCTGCTGCTGCTGCTGCTGCTGCTGCTGGTCTTCGTGCTGCTGCTGCTGGGTGCTGCTGTGCTGTTGCTGCGCGTCTCCGTGCTGCTGCTGCTGTCCTTCCTGCTGCTCCTGCTGCTCCTCCTGCTCCTCGTCCTCCTCCTTTAGCTGGGGGAGCCGCGGCGGCTGCTGCAGCAGCAGGCGGCGCCGCCGCAGCGCGCTGCTTCTGCTGCTGCTGCTGCTGCTGCTGCTGCTGCTGCTGCTGCTGTGGGCGGCGAGCGCGCGGTGCAGCCCCGCAACAAGTTCTTGAAAAACATCATTTGCTTCTTCAGCAAATGCAACAAAAGTCAAATGAACTTCTCGAAATTCCCTCCGCAGCACATGAGGTGCAGCAGCAACAACTGCCTGCAGCTCGCGGTGGCTCCGCCGCAGCAGCCCCGCAATTTCCCCGCGCTGCTGCTGCAGCTGCTGCGCTGCAGCAGCAGCGTTCTCCAGGGCCCCCAGCAGGGGGGCCCCCCCGGGGCCCCCGGGGCCCCCGGGGCCCCCGGGGGGCCCCCCGAAGGGGCCCCCCGGCAGCAAAGTGGCGAGCAGCCCGTCGTGGGCCCTGAAAAGGGTCTCAGTGGCATTTAAGAGTTGGTCGGCGTGGGCGAGGGCGGGGGGCCCCCTTGTTCTGAGAAAAGCGAAGTGTTGTTTGTAAAGAAAAAGCAAAACATCTTGGAACTTGAAAAAACGAATTAAAGACAAACGCGACTGAAGACTTTGCTGCAGCACTTGCGCGCGCAGCTGCTGCAGCGCGGGGCCCGCCAGGTGTACGTACACCCGGCCGGCCTGGCCCCACGCAGACACCGCGCGCTTCAAACGCGCAAAGTCGTAAAAGGCAGACCCCACAACTTTTTGCGCACTTTCTAGACTCAGGGGGGCCCCCTTTTGGAGGCTAAGATGGGCAGCAAGGGCCCTTCTTTTCATTTCTTTTTTGAAACTCTCCAGACTCTCCAAACTCCCCAAAACGCACTCCCCAAACTCCTCCCCCAACGCCCGAACCAGTGCCCTCTTCGCGCCCTCCGACAGGCCCCCCGGGGCCCCCGGGGGGCCCCCCTCCGGCCCGGGGGCCCCAGGGGGCCCCTCGGGGGCCCCCCCGGGGGCCCCCTCGGGGGCCCCCTCGGGGGCCCCCTCGGGGGCCCCCTCGGGCGCCGGGGTCCCCGGGGGCCCCTCGGGCGCTCCCTCGGGGGCCCCCTCGGGGTCCCCCCGCGGCCCCGGGGGGCCCTCCGGAGCCCCCGGCAGGGGGCCCCCCGGGGGGCCCCCCGGGGGGCCCCCCGGGGGCCCCCCCGGGGGCCCCTGGGGCTCGTCGTTGATAATTTCTGCTGCTTTTGCGTGTGCAGCAGCAGCAGCAATTGCGCGGAGGCGGGCCAAAGCCTTGAGAGTTTCCTCAGCGTAGAGAGTCAAGTTTGCAATGAGTCGGGGTTTGTTTAGAACTGGAGCTTTTTTTAATTCTCGACGAATTGAAGAAGCATTTAAAACTTGAGCAGCAATTCTCATGACGAGGTCCATGGATTCGGGTGTACGTACAGCCTCGGCGAGGCGGGTGGCGTCGGGGAGGGCCAGTTTGAGCTGCTTGAGGAGGGCGTTGACTTGCTGCAGTTCTGCTGCAGTGGGCTGCTGCAGCAGCAGCAGCAGCTGCTGCTGCTGCTGCTGCTGCTGCGCGCGCGCGCGCGCCAGCTGCGCCTGCAGCCGCAGCAACGACCCCACCACCAGCAACACAAACACCCCCAGCCCCAGCAGCAGCCGCCGGCCCTGCGCTTTGCTGCTGCTGCGCTGCTGCAGCACCAAAGCCTCTGTCTTTGCTGCCCATTTCGTCAGAGTCGTCGAACCCCCCAATATCTCCTCCAACTCTCCAGTGCAGCCCCCGCAGTCCTCCTCTTCCGACCCCCACGAGCGCTGCATCTCAGCTGTACGTACACCCCAGCTGTGCGTACACCGCAAGAGCTGTATGTACACCTCAGCTGTACGTACACCCCAGCTGTGCGTACACCGCAAGAGCTGTATGTACACCCCGGCTGTATGTACACTACGAGCTGTATGTACACCGCAAGAGCTGTATGTACACCCCAGCTGTATGTACACTGCGAGCTGTATGTACACCGCAAGAGCTTATGTACACTGTGAGCTGTATGTACACCGCGAGAGCTGTATGTACACTGCGAGCTGTATGTACACCGCAAGAGCTGGACGTACACCCCAGCTGTACGTACACCGCGAGCTGTATGTACACTGCGAGCTGTATGTACACTGCGAGAGCTGTATGTACACCGCAAGAGCTGTATGTACACTGCGAGCTGCAGGGCTTTTGCGGGGAAGAACAGAAAAGGAAATTTGAAATAAAAAAAAGAAAAAATTCGACGCGGGCTCGGAGAGAGAAAGCGAATTCAGGTGTATGCGCAGCTGCGACGTCACTTGTGCAAAACGCGGAAAGTCCGCGAAATTAATGCGCGCGTTTGAAAGCTTTGAAATTAAAATGAATTAATTAGAATTAAAAAAGAAAAGGAAAAAATAAGTTAATTAGAATTAAAAAAGAAAAGGAAAAGTTCGCTGAGGCGGAAAGCCCAACTTGTGCTCACAATCGAAAACCTGAACCATTCCGGAAGCCACTGGAACTCGCCCCCGGGAAAAGCTCTTTGCGCGTCTTTGGACCACTTTGAAGCTTTAAAAGGCAAACTTTCCTTTTTAAAAATGAAAATAACAAAAAGAAGTCCAATTCAACTCCAAATCGGCCAGTTTGCTGCTGCTTTCGCCGCGGAAACACCCGCAGCAAAGCCTGCACGGGCTGCAGCGGATCGACTGGTCTGCTGCACCTTTCCGCAGCTCCCACCCGCGGAAAGCGCCGCAATTTGCATTTCTTTTTCTAAAATAAATTCAAATTAAAGTTTCTGAAGTTCAATTTCGCAGCTTTCCGCGTTTTTGGACTTGCCCGCGGCGCCGCGCACTGAGCTGTACGTACACCCCGGAAGCTGCAGACCCCGGGGGTCCCGGACTGTCTTCCAGTGGCTTTTGAACGCGCGAATCAGTTTTATTTAATTTGCACTTCATTATTAATTAAATTAAAGTGTTTAAAGTGCCATTTTTGCAAAATAAACGGCCGAGGCCCCCCAGCTCGCTGCTTGTCTGGGGGGTGGAGCGGGAGGCGAGGCTCTTTTGCATTTGCCAGCTTTTGGGGAAAATGCATTTAAATGGACTTCTTTCTTGAGGGGTAATTCTCCGAAAAGAAGCAGAAAGGCCTCAAAGAGTGGCATTTGTTGTTTGCCATAATGCCATTCATTGTAACTGCCAGACTGGCATTTGTTACACTTGCCATAATGCCATTTTGCGGCTAAGTCCGCACTCTGTGCAGTGCAGGCCACTGCATGCATGCATTTAAAAGATTTAATAAATGCATGCACTGCATGCATGCATGCATTTAAAAGATTTAATAAATGCATGCCACTGCATGCATGCATGCATTTAAAAGATTTAATAAATGCATGCACTGCATGCATGCATTTAAAAGATTTAAAAGCACCTCGTGCATGCGTTTTCCGCGGTGTATGTACACCTGGAGGGCCCCACTGCTGAAAGACAGCAGCAGCAAAAAGCCCCATTTCTTTGCATGCGTTTTGGCAGCAGCAAAAAGCCCCATTTGTTTGCATGCGTTTTGGAGCAAAAAGGCTTTAAATGGACTTTTTGGAATTTGCAAAAAGCAAAAAACAAACTTGGAGAAATAAAAAAAGAAAACAAAAAGGACAAATGCATTTAAAAAACAAAACTAGTTGCCAATACAAAATAAATATTTGCGAAAGCAGCACGGCCGCGAGAGCTGCAGCAGCAGCAGCAGCTGCTGCTGCTGCAGTGCGTCGGCGCAGCAGCAGCAGCTGCAGCAGCAGCTGCCACCGCTGCCGCTGCACTGCATGACCTCAGCAGCAGCAGCAGCAGCAGCAGCTGCTGCTGCTGCTGCTGTGTGTCTTTGGGTTGTAGAGCGCAGTCGCTGGGAGCTACTGCTGCTGCGCTGCAGCAGCAGGCTCTGCTGCAGCAGCAGCAGCAGCAGCAGCAGCAGGGGGGCCCCCCTGGGGGCCCCTGGCGCCTCCGAAGAACCAGCCGAAGAGGGCCCTGGAAAGGTCTTTTGCTGCTCCCCAGAGTCCGAGGTGGGAAGCAGCAGCAGCAAAGAAGTTGGCAGCAGCTTTGCTGCTGCAGATCTGCTGCAGCAGCAAAAAGAGATTTGCTTCGATGAAGAGAGCCAAACGGCCCAAGGCGTCTGTCTGCAGCAGCGCGAGCAGCGCAGCACCCAGCTGCTGCTGCTGCTCGTGCAGCAAATCTGCTGCTGCGTCCAGCAGCAAATGGAGACCCCCGCAGAGAACTTCGGAGACTCTGTAGACTTTAAAAGCTGCTTGCAGAGTCTCCAGCAGCTGCTGCAGTCTCCGCGTTATGCTGCGCTGCACCTTCCGCTGAAACTGCTGCTGCAGCAGCAGCTGCTGCAGCCGGCTGGCCACGGCCAGCGCGAGCCCGCGCAGCAGCAGCCGCAGGCCCAGCAGCCCGCTGCTGCCGCTGCTGCTGCTGCTGCTGCTGCTGCTGCTGCTGCTGCTGCGCTTCAGAGACACCTCCAGCTCCGCTGCTGCAGCAGCAACGAAGAAGTGCAGCTGCCGCGCCAGCAGCAGCAGCTGCGTCCGCAGCAGCGCAGCAGGCAGCAGCCGGCCCGCACTCAGCAAAGCTGGCAGCAAAATGCTGTCCAGAGATCTTATGCAAACTTTTGCTGCTGCTTCTTTCACAGACCCCACAACTGTCTTTTGCACTCGAAGAGCAGCAGCAAGAGACAGCCAGAGGCCCCCCAGCTGCTGCGCCGGGAGGGCCCCCACGGCCCGCGGCAGCTCCGACAGCAGCGGCAGCAGCAGCGACTGCAGCAGCTCTCCCGCCGCGCCCCCTCCTGCTGCGCTGCTGCTGCTGCTGCTGCTGCTGCTGCTGCTGCTGCTGCTGCGGGACAGCTGCAGCAGCGACCAGTGCCGGGACACCAGCGCCTTCCGCCCGAAAGAACGAACTGCCGCGCCCCTGCCAGCCACGCCTGCTGCTGCTGCTGCTGCTGCTGCTGCTGCTGCTGCTGGAGCTGCTGCTGCTGCTGCTGCGTCCTGCGGGCGGTGTTCGGCGGCGGTCTGCACGAGGCTGGGTTTCGCCTGCGGCTGCCTGCTCCTCTGCTGCTGCTGCTGCTGCTGCTGCGGCTTCGCGCGCTGCTGCTGCCGCTGCCGCTGCTGCTGCTGCTGCTGCTGCTGCTGCTGCTGCTGCAGCTTGCGCTTGAGCTCGATTTGCATGCGGAGGTCCCTGCGCTGCTCCTTGAGGCTGCGGCGGCCCGAACGCGTCAAGTCCTTAGCAGCAGCAAGAACGAACTTGACAGCATGGTGCAGCAGCAGCTGCAGCGCGCGTGCTGCTTGCTGCTGCCAGCTGCTGAGCTGCGGCTGCAGCCGCTGCAGCTTGTCCCGCAGCAGCTGCAGCACGTCTGCGAAGCCCTGCTGCAGCCGCTGGTACTCGGGGGGGGGGGCCCCCGGCAGGGGGGCCCCCCTGCTGCTGCTGCTGCCCCAGAACTGCCGGCCCAGGAACTCCAGGGCCCCCGCCTTCAGGGCCCCGCTCGGCTGCTGCTGCAGACTCTTCGACTTTACTATTTCTTCATAACTCATTGCCAATAATCCCTGCTGCTGCTGCCCCAGCCGGCTCCACAGGACCCTCGAGGAGTGCTGCTGCAGCAGCCGCTTCAGCAGCGCCAGCAGGGGCCGGGGGGCCCCCACCAGCGTGCATGCGTTGGTCTCTTTTAAGTTGTTTGCTGCTATCATGTAGTCTGCGTATCTGCACATGGTGTAGTAGACGCGGTTTGCTGCTGCAGCAAGGTCTTGGTCTTGTTTTGCTGCTGCTGCTGCTTCTGCTGCTGCTTTGGCTGCGGGGGTGGCTGCGGCGTCTGCTGCTGCTGCTGCTGCTGCTGCTGCGTCCGCCAGCTGCACGGCCGCCTCGTGCAGCGCAGCAGCAAGAGGGTTCAGCGGCAGCGGGAACAGCGCGGGCTCCTGCTGCTGCAGCAGCTGCATGCGCAGCAAACGTGACCACTGGTCCTGCACAATGCTGCTGCTCAGCTGCCGGCTCATAAACCCCACAAAGAACTGCAGCAAGTTGCTGCTGCTGCGGCCGCCTTTGCTGCACTCGCAGCGCTCCGCCAGGGGCTCTTCGGTTTGCTGCAGCAGCAAACAGAACTCCGAGGGCCCCTCGGGGGCCCCCCCGCCGGGGGCCCCCTCCCCGGGGGGCCCCCCGGGGGGCCCCCCGGGGGGCCCCCCAGGGGGGCCCCCCAAAGGCAAAGTGGCCAAAATCCGCTGCTTCACTTCTTCAAGTTCTTTGCAAGACCTCGCAAGAACTGGGTCTGCTGCTGCTGCTGCTGCGAAGCTGCTGCAGTCTGCTGCTCGAATGGCGGTGCAGAGGGGGTAGTGGGCGAAGGAGGGCGGCGGCAGCTGCTGCTGCTGCTGCTGCTGCTGCTGCTGCTGCTGCAGCAGCAAACGGTAGACTATGGAGTCCACCAAAGTCCTGAAAAGCTGCACATCTTCCGTGGGCTTTCCCAAAGTCTTGAGGGCCCTTGTCTCAGCACTTGCGGGGATCATGCTGCAGACAAGAGTGAAGAGCCGCTGCAGCAGCAGCACAGTAGCTTCGGGGCTTTGCTGCTGCTGCTGCTGCTGCTGCTGCTGCACCAGGCTCAGCCAGCTCTCGAAGCCGAAGCGCTGCGGCCGCCGCGTCAGCACGGCCTTCACCTCGGGGTCTTCCAGCTGCTGCGCAAAGGCAGCAGCAGCAGCAGCTTGCTGCAGCAGTTTGCAAAATGCTGCAGTGTGCTGCTGGCTGCGGAAGAACTGCTGCACCTGCTGCTCCTGCTGCTCCAGCTGCTCCAGCAGCGCCTGCTGCTCGCCCTGCTGCAGCTGCTGCTGCGCCGGCGGCGGCCCCGGCTGCTGCTGCTGCTGCAGCAGCTGCTGCTGCAGCTGCTGCTGCTGCTGCTGCAGCTGCTCCAGGCACTGCTGCATCAGCTGCCACCACAGCGCCAACGCCTCAGGGGCCCCCATTTCCACAAAGCCCCGCCGCCGCACTTGCTGCTGCAGCACGTGCAGCACAGCATCCACTGCAGCACGAGAAGCAGCAGCAAGGCCGCCACCTACTGCAGCAGGAAGGGCCCCAAACAGCTGCTGCAGCTCCTCCTCCAGGGGCCCCCAAATGCTCTCCGGTACCCAAAAGCGCCCAGAGGGGCCCCCGCTCAGCAGCGGAGAAGCAGCAAAAGAAGGAACTGCGCTTAGCGTGCTGCTCAAGTCGCCCTGCAGCAGCAGCAGCAGCAGCAGCAGCAGCAGCAGCAGCAGCGGCAGCACAAGAGGCAATGCATGAAACAGAAGTCAAAGGTAGAGCGGAGGGAGCGGCAAAGGTGGAAACACTAATCATGCCTCGCAGCAGCAGCAGCAGCAGCAGCCAGACAGCAGCAGCAGCAAGCAGCAGCAGCAGCAGCAGCCTCTAAACAGCAGCAGCAGATGCAGCAGCAGGAAGACTGCAGCAACCTCGGGGCATCCGCCGCGTGTTTTGCCGCTGCAGCTCGCCGCAACTGGACTCGAGGGTTTAGGGTTTAGGGTTTAGGGTTTAGGGTTTACCTCGAGGAGGCCGTAGACCTCTTGAATGGACCAGAAAGCAATGAAGGCATTCCAAGTGGCGGTTTGGAGGGTTTGTCTGTGGCTGAGGGCACTTGCTGCTGCTGCTGCTGCTGCTGCAGGCAGGTGCAGCAGCAGCAGCGAAAGGTCTTTTTCTTTTTCCGCAAAAGCAGCAACAAGAGACAAAATGGACTCTGTGGAAACAGCAGCAGATTCGAAAGCAGCAAAAGCTGCATGCGCCCACCCCACACACTTCGCGTAGTGCAGCCCCGTCTTGAAGGCAATGAGGCTTTCTTCGAAGGTCACGGGCACCTGCAGCAGCAGCAGCAGCAGCAGCAGCAGCAGCAGCAGCAGCAGCGGCAGCGGCAGCGCAGCAGCACAGGAAGCGGGAGTGTATGCGTGGGCGGAGGAGGAGCAGCAGCTGGCGCTGCAGCAAAGCTGCGCAGCCGCAAAAAACGCTACCCCTGCCAACTGCTGCTGCTGCTGCTGCTGCTGCTGCTGCTGCTGCTGCTGCTGCTGCTGCTGCTGCTGCTGCTGCTGCTGCTTACGTCTGGGAGGGCGTTTCCCGGGGCCTCCTGGCCTGAGACAGCAGCAAAGTCTTCTGCTGCCAGCAGCTCAGCAACAAGCTCTGGCCTGCTGCTGAGCTGCAGCAGCACCATGAGAGAAAGATAAGCATGATTCCACAAGACAACGAGGTGGGGGCAGAAGCCCCTGCTGCTGCTGCTGCTGCTGCTGCTGCTGCTGCTGCAGCTGCAGCGGTTGCGGATGGCCGCGTCGCGCGCATGCAGCCGGAAGCCCGCAGCAGCAGCAAGCGGGTTGCTGCGGCGCATCTTAGCAGCAAAAAAGAGATGAGCAGCAGCTGCATGCAGCCCCACAGGAAGCCCCAAAAAGGCCCTCAAGTGCATGCTTTTTTCGGGAGTTAAGAGATCTTCGTAAAGCATTTCTGCTGCTGCTTCTGCTGCCTCGAAGTGCTGCTGCTCTGCTGCTGCTGCTCCCGCAGCAGCGTCTTCCGCGGCGCCGCGCTCCGCAGCAGCAGCAGCAGCAGCAGCAGCAGGCGCAGCAGCAGCAGCAGGGGGCGGCGGGAGCCTGAGGAGGACGTCGTAGCCCGCGTCCCTGAGGCTGCTGCTGAGGTCTGCTGCAGCAGCAGCAGCAGCAGCAGCAGCAGGGGGCTGGTGAGCAGCAAGAATGTCCTGAATGAGGAGGAAAATGTACTTCATGGCCTGGAACTTTTGCTGCGGAGAGACTGCAGCACCTGCTGCTTCCTGCTGCAGCAGCTGGCGGTACTTGCTGAGCTGCAGCGACACAGAAGCCTCCAAACCCCCCAGCAGCAGCAAATTGTGTCTCTTGTTTGGATCTCTTTGGAAAGCCTCAAGGGCCCCCAAGTCCCCAACTGCAACAATACCATTACTTTCTGTTTCTTCCACTTTCCATATTTTGAACAAAAACGGGGACTCCATGCGCTTCGGACACAGCGCCGCCCCCAGCTGCTGCTGCTGCTGCTGCTGCTGCTGCTGCTGCTGCAGCAGCAGCGAGCCCCACAGCCCGTAGCGCTGCTCGCACACCTCCAGCTTCTCCTCCGGCGAACAGAGGGCCTCGAGGGCCTCGCCGCTGGCCCTCCAGGGGGCCCCCCCGGGGCCGCGCTGCTGCTGCTGCTGCTGCTGCTGCTGCTGCTGCTGCTGCTGCTGCTGCTGCGCGTCCCAGGCCGTGTAAGCTGCTGCCAAAGCCTCCGCAAAGGCCGGCAGCAGGGGCCCCAGTGCTGCTTTCAAAGACTTGAACTTTGGGAAGTTTAAAAACAAATTAATCCGCAAAATCCAGGACTTGTCAGTGGTCTTGGGGGCCCCCTTGAAGAAGCTGAGCCGCAGCGAAGTTTGCTGCTGCTGCGCGCGCTTTGCTGCTTGCTGCTGCTGCAGCAGCGCAGCAGCAAACAGCGCGCGCTCTCTGCGGAAGGCCGCGGCCAGGAAGCTGCGGGCCAAAAGGTAGTTTATCAGAATGAAGCGGAGAGCAGCAAGAGAAGCAGCAACGGAGTTCGAATTTAATTTTAAATTTAAATTTGAATTTAAATTTAAATTTAAATTTAAATTTAAATTTAAATTTAAATTCAAATTCGAATTCGCTTCCGCTTCCACTGACACCGCGCGGCCCATCGCTCGCACTGCGCTCAACTCCAAAGCAGCCTGACACGCACACACACAACGCTCCTCCTTCTGCTGCTGCTGCTGCTGCTGCTGCTGCTGCTGCTGCTGCTGCTGCTGCTGCTGCTGCTGCTGCTGCTGGTGATGGTGATGGTGCTAGGGATACTTGTGCTGCTGCTGGGCATACTGCGGCTGCGGCTGCTGCTGCTGCTGCTGCTGCTGCTGCTGCTGCTGCTGTTGCTGCTAACTTTGCCAGGCTCCGCATCAGCTTTGCCTCCCCCAAACTGCAAACCCTAAACCCTAAACCCTAAACCCTAAACCCTACCTCTTTTCTGTCTTTCTCTGGCATGCGGGGGCTGGGGAGATCAAGTGCACGCACTTCCAAAACCACTTTTTCGGTTTTTCCCTCATCAAACCACCAAAGAGTCAAAAGTTCTTTTTCTGAAATAAAAACATTTTCAAACAATTCCCAGTGCTTTTGCAGCAGCCTAGGGTTTAGGGTTTAGGGTTTAGGGTTTAGTTAACTTATGTAGACTTAAAATTCACCCGGGGGACACGCCAAACCCCAAACCCTAAACCCTAAACCCTAAAGTGTGGTTTAGCGCTGACCTTCTGTCTTTTGGTACTCGACTTTTCTGTAGCAGGTGCTGCTGCTTCCGTAGGCATTCGGGTTGAGCCAGGCGACGAACTTTTTGCTGCTGCTGCTGCTGCTGCTGCTGCTGCAGGGCGCATGCAGCTGCAGCGGGATAGCAGCAATTTGCTGCTGGCTGCTCTGCAGGTCAAAAGCAAAAGTGGGGCTGGCGCGGCTGCCCTTAGGGTACACCGTGAGAAGGGGCCCCCCCTCGGGGGGCCCCCCTGGGGGCCCCCCGGGGGCCCCCTCGGGGCCCCCCCCGGGGGCCCCCCCCGGGGGGCCCCCCGCCTGGGGGCCCCCCGGGGGGG